GAGGGGGAAGAAAAGAAGGAGCAGCTGGCAGTGAAAAGGATGGAACTGGAGGCCCAGCGCAAAGAGAAAAAGCTTGGATGGTGGCAGCGGGAACCCCAGGCTAGCGGGTGTGCTCCAGGGAAGGGGTCAGCCGGACGTGAGGCACCCCAAGGGAGGCACTTGGAGCCTGGAAGGTGGTCGGGTGCAGGGAGGTGGGCGGCTCAATGCAGGAGCGCCGCCTACTGGCCAGCCACACGTGGTGGCAGCAGTGGGATCCGAATACCCTGCTGTATTTGAGGCATAATTTGGGAAAAGGAATAGAGTCACTGAAATCCCTTGAGCAAACGATTTCCAATTTGGCATCAGGTTGACTGGATAGGGTAGAGAGTCAGGATGGCGGACGAGTATGTCTGGATGACTGTGCCCAAACTGAAAGAACTGGCAAAAGAGAGAGGCCTTCACGCGACGGGAAAGCTAAAGAAGGATGAGCTGATTAAACTCTTGTGTACCGGCGAGTCAGGAACAGCGTCAGCTTCACGCTCGTCAAGTCCTGAGCTTGACCCAGGACCACACTCCCGCTCATCAAGCCCGGAGGCTGCCGGGAGCTCACCCTCCGCGCGGGGGCGGCAGAGACTCCATGAGATAGAGCTGAAAAGGATGGAGTGGGAAGAAAAGAAGGAACAACGAAAGCTGGAGAAGGAGCAGCTGGCAGTGAAAAGGATGGAGCTGGAGGCCCAGCGTGAGAGAGAGCAGCTGGCAATGAAAAGGATGGAGCTGGAGGCCCAGCAGGAGGAGAAACAACAACAGCTGGAAGAGAGGAGGATGGAGAGGGAAGCCCGGTTGGAGGCCCAAAAGATGGAGCTCAAGCAGAAAAAGCTGGAGGCTCAGCTCCGTCTGCAGACCATTGGGGGAAACGCGAACACTCTGCAAGCGTCCGGGGAACAGCTCAAACTGGACGTCTCTGCCTTCGCTCGCTACTGAGAGGGAGACGATCCTGCGGTGTTCCTAAGCAACTTTGAAAGACAAGCCCAGCGGTGTAAGGTGCCGGAGGAAAAGATCATGATGTACCTGTTTGTGCTGGTAGAGGGCGACATGGCTGTGGTCCTGAACAGCCTGCCCTCAGACGCAGCTGATGACTATAATGCCTTCAAAGCTGCTGTGTCTAAAAGGTTCCAGTTAGGACCAGATTATTTTCGGAAAAAATTCCGGAATACGCACCCACAACCCGGAAAGTCATTGACTGATTATGTGGCTCTGTTGGACGACACATACATTAAATGGTTAACTGAAGCCAAGGTTGACACTTTAGATAAGTCACGCTATCTCATGGTGCTGGAACAATTCTATTTTTGGTGTCTGAGAGAGGTTAAGACCTTGGTCAGGGACAGGGACCCCAAAAATGCTTACGAGGCCGCAGAAATTGCAGACCGACTGTTGCTAAACCGAGAGAAGCCTCCCTACTCTGGGAAGGAACAAAAAGGTTTCCAAAGAGGGGGGAAGGGAGGCCCAGGTCAAAAAGGGGAAAGAGGGCCACCTCCGGCAGAGCGCAAGACGGCCTCAGATTCGGACAGACCACCCAATTCAGAAAAGAGGGGGTGCTATAACTGTGGGGAGCCGGGCCACATCAAGCCCAACTGCCCAAAGCTAAGCACTAGACCCAGGCCTGCCACACTGCCCTCCCCACAGCATCCCCATGCTGCCATGACAAAGAACCCTCTGCTTACGTGGCAGCAGCAGGAGGCACAACTCCACATTGCTGCCCCCGCTGCTGTATGGTGATGCCCTGGCATAGGGCTCCCAGGGGGACAGCAGGGAGGGAAGCCCTGAGCCCCCAGTGAGCAGCCTGCATCCACCTCTGCCCCATGCACAAATCTGTGGGGCATGTGTCCCCTCATGCACTCCTCCCTGGGAGTGCACACCGTGGCAGGAAACTGCCCCTACTGCCCCCTGGATGAACCACCTGTGGCTCTGTCCCATCCCTGCCCCAGGCCCCATGCACTGCCCTGGCTGGGCAATGCCCTCTGGCCCAGCCCCTGCTCCACTTCCTTTGCCGTGGGGGCCTCAATCTGCCACCTCCACCATAGGCTTACATGCAGGCAGCTGGGGAAGCTGCTCTGCAGTGCTGCCTGGGGATGTACTCCTGGCCACAGACAGCCTGGCTTCTGAAGGATTGGGGCTTTGGCTCCCATAGGTGTCAGGAGTGGAAAGGGAATCACACCACCATGCCCCCATGAATCCACCCATGACAATTATGAAGTCCACCTCAGCCAACAAAGCCATTTGTTTGTGTTCTTTTTTTTCAAACTTCACTCTTTGAAAGTTAAGATGTTACTGAACTCCTGCAATGTGAAAAGGGTTCTGCCATTTTCCCTATGTAGAATGGAGCCATTGAGAAAGTTTCTGTGCCTATTTGCTTCCTTAGTTGAGAGATCTAAACGTGAAGTGATATCACCATAAAGACTGTCCAGGTAGATATTGGAGAGAACTAAGTTTTGTAGGAGACCACCAAGGTGGAACCAATATTTGTAGTCCTACTAGAATGAAGATAGCTCAATAGCATCCTTCCACAATGCTTCTGTAACCAATATCTATGGGGCACTTGACCATGCTCTTTGCAATCACAGAAGCCTCCAGAGCAGATGTTACATTTACTAAGGTACATCAGCCTGTGCTCACCTAGAGCACTGGTGCTCAACCTTGTGGCCCCACAGGCCAAATGAGTGGCACAGGGCTGGTCTGCAGGCTGGATTGGATCCCACATGCCAGAATTGGGCCCACATACCCAGATCAGGCCCCACACAGTTTGGCTGGACCCCACATCCTGGGATTGGGTCCTCTGCTGTCCCTGCATGCTGGGATTGGGCGCTGGGGCCCCGTACCACATCTGCCCAGGCCCATGTGCCAGGATTAAGTTCTGGGGTCCCATGTTGCACCCATCCAGCTCTGCATACCAGGATTCAGCTTCAGGGCCCCGCCCTGCCCAGCTCTGCATGTCAGGATTTGGCTTTGCACCACCTTGTACATCTGATATAGTGTGTAGGGCCAGAAGACATGGTGCTAGGGCTGGATCTGGCTTATGGACCAGGAGTTGAGCACCCCTGACTTAGAAGATTCCAAGACCCACCCCCTGTATGAGGGCTATGGCATTACACCCACAGTGAGGCTTTGCATATAGACACATCAACTGATGTGTTGGGCCACACCCATTCTCCCCCTCCATAGCTGGATGGAGCCAGGCCACATCCTCTCCCTACCACTGCAGTTGCACTGGGGCCAGTCTATGCCATGAAAGAACAGGTCAGGGACTGTTTAGAAAAGTTGGGCATATATAAGTCCATGGGGCTGAAAGGGATGCACCAGAGGGTGCTGAGGGAGTCAGCTGATGTGACTGCAGAGCTATTGGCCATCTTTGAAAAATCATGGCAATCAGGAGAGGCCTGGAATGATTGGAAAAGGGCAAATATAGTGCCCATATTTAAGAAGGTGAAAAAGGAGGATCCAGGGAACTTTATACTGATCAGTCTCACCTCAGTCTCTGGAAAGATCATGGAACAGTCCTCAAGGAATCCATTTCTAAGCAGTTGGAGGAGAAGAAGGTGATTAGGAACATTCAGCATAGATTCGCCAAGGGCAAGTATGAGAAAAACTTAACTGGTGAAGCCGGGAGGCGGTGGGATGCCACCCAAGAGAGCACAGCCGGCGAAAGTGAAACCACGGCAGGCAGAACTGCCATGGCAACACTTCAAAAGGAAAAAAAGTGGACAAGCCGGAGGGAGCCAGGAAAGGTTCCCATGTCAGCCCGGACCCACTTTATTCAAGCTTCCTAGGGCCGATTGGCTGGCCAGTCACCTGGAGCTGGGCCAAAAAGCCCGGAGGAACTCCAACCAGGGGGACCGGAAGTGGAGTCCCCAGTGCAGCAGGAGGAGTGGGAGCACACAGAAGCTCCTTCTGGGAAGCCCTGGTGGGCACCCCAGGAAGGGGTCGCCCCAGGGCCGTATAGACAGCCTCAATTGGAGGCATTGTCCACAGGGCCACCATGGAGGGCTGAGACCTCCAGCAAAGACTGGAGCCTGGCAGAACCCAGCGGAGCAGCAGATCAGCTGCAACCAACAGAGACCCAACTATGACCTCTGAAGTGGGGAAAGGCACCCCAGAGCAGGGTGGTATCAAATGCAGTCATGAGATAGCCAAAGAAAGAGGGCCGCCAGAGATGCCTACAAGGAAAAGCAATGTTGCTACGGTCACCAGACCTGGCAGGTTAGAGCGGGGAGAAATCCCAGAACACCATGCTCGATGATGAATGATTCCATCGTGGTTGGTGGTAGGTGGGGTGTAGGGGAGGTGGAGCCCCATGAAAGAGCCGCAAAGGAAGTGACCCGAAGGGAAGTACCAGGGAAAGGGGGACCAAAACATCATCCTCCCGAGTGAAACAAACCAATCATCAAAGACGTGGCAGGAAAGGCTCCAGTCTCACCCAGAGACTGACTCTTCCGTCCCGAAGAAGTCACGGCCAAGCTCAAGCGGAAGTCGCATGCACGGCGTCCGGTAGATAGACACAAGAGGTTACAGCAAGTCACACCTTACCAACCTGATTGCTTTCTATGATTAGATGACTGGCTCTGTGGATGTAGGGAGACCAGTGGATTTGGTATACCTTGATTTTAGCAAAGGATTTGATATGATCTCCCACAACATTCCTGCAGGCAAGCTAAGGAAGTACGGGCTGAATGAATCGACTGTAAGGTGGATAGAAAACTGGCTGGAGCATCAGCCTTAGAGGGTAGTAAACAATGGCTCAATGTGTTGTTGGCAGCTGGTACCAAGTGGAGTGCCCCAGGGGTTGGTCCTGGGGCTGGTTTTGCTCAATATCTTCATCAGTGACCTGGAAAATGGCAATATCTTCATCAATGACCTGGAAAAGTGCACCCTCAGCAAATTTGCAGATGACACCAAGCTGGAGGGAGGAGTACATATGCTGGAGGGTAGGGCTAGGATTCAGAGAGACCTAGACAAATTGGAGGATGGGGCCAAAAAACATCTCATGAGGTTCAACAAGGACAAGTGCAAAGTCCTGAACTTAGCACAGAACAATCCCATTTCCAGTACAGGCTGGGGGCTGACTGGGCAGTAGCTCTGCAGACAAGGACCTGGTGCTTACATTGAACAATAAGCTGAATAAGAGCCAGCAGTGTGCCCTTGTTGCAAAGAAGGCTAATGGCATCCTGGGCTACATTGGTAGGTGTGTTGCCAGTAGGTCAAGAGAAGTAATTATGTCTGTCTATTCAGCACTGGTGAGGCCACATCTGGAGTACTGCGTTCAGTTTTGGGCCCCTCACTATAGAAAGGATGTGGACAATTTGGAAAGAGCCCAGTGGAGGGCAACAAAAATGATTAGGGAACTGGGGCACATGATTTCTGAGGAGAGGCTGAGGGAACTAGGCTTATTTAGTCTAGAGAAGAAAAGACTAAGTAGGGATTCAGTAGCAGCCTTCAACTACCTGAATGAGGGTTTGAAAGAGGATGCAGCTAGACTGTTCTCAGTAGTGACAGATGACAGAATAAGGAGCAACAGTCTCAAGTTGCATCAAGAGAGGTTTAGATTAGATATTAGGAAGAATGTTCTTACTAGGAGGGTAATTAAAGATTGGAACAGGTTACCCAGAGAGGTGGTGGAATGGAATTTACATCCTTGGAGGGTTTTAAGACCCGGCTAGACAAAGCTGTGGCTGTTATGATCTAGTTATGGATGGACCTGCTATGAGCAGGGGGGTTGTACTAGAAGACCTCCTGGGTTCCCTTCCAAACCTAATTTTCTATGGTTCTATGCCTCCCTTTGCACCTGAATCAGTGTTCAAGCCCCCTCTCTCCTTTCCTCTGTCCTCTGCAGGGCCAGATCAAGCCCCCTCTCCTGTACAGCCATGTTGGGGTCTGTAGTTGGATGGGGCTTGCCATGCCCACCCTCACTGGATCGGGAATGCTGTCTGCATCTGGCCTGCAGACAGACTTGGCACTGGCCATCAACTGAAGAAGTTGATATCAGAAGTACTGAATGCAAAGTTCTCCTTTTTGTGTACCTTCTATTTCAGTTCGAAATAGGTTTAAATGATTTGCATATTGAGAAGTGAAATAAAGGTCTAAGAAAGTGTAAAAGTTTCATTGTAACTAAGGCTTTCCAAGAAGCATGATTTCCATTTCACAAAATGTGTTAATGTTTCAATGTACAATGAAACTAAAACCTGTTGATCATATTTGTGTGTGTGTGTGTGAGAGAGAGAGAGAGAGAGAGAGAGAGAGAAGAAAGCAAATAGAAAAATAAAAATGAACCACAGTATCAACTGATAGTCTTGTTATGGCACTCTCCTTGTTTATGGGGGACCCAACACCAAGTCCTGGTCTGAATTGAGCAGATGGCCTGAACCACTTGGCTTTGGGATATTATGGGGTCTCTAGCTGTCTTTTTCCTTTTGACTAGAAATATCATTCCATTTTGGGCTTGTGAAACCTTCCTGACAACATTTTCATTTTCAAGTTGCAGTTTCAATGAATCCATGTTTTCCAACACATACAGCATCCTCCAAGTTCCTAATAAGCTTGTATTACAAGATCAATTTTGAATAAGGATTTTAGACTCCTGTTTTTAGAACATCAAAAAATCTATAGGGAAGTCCCCACTATTATTTGTGTTTCCTGTTACTCAAATTACAAAAAAATAATTGAATATGTCATAAATTAAGTGCTCGTATATCTTGGTATGCTGTTGAACTACATGTAGGGGCAGGGTTTTTTCCTTGTATAATTTAAGTTCAAAGTTCCTGCTAATTGTTATCTGCATTATTGTTGAACAAAAGCTAAACATCATGTCGCTCAGTTTTCTACAAAATTTAAATCAAGAAAAATACAAAAAAGTTTGAGTAGCTCTTAGAGAAAACAAAAATCATTCGACGAGAAGGGGAAATCTGCAAAATGGAAGTGGAGCTCATAGGGGAGGGGTAAAAGAGGTGGAGTTGCCTGGGTCAGTAGCATAACAAAGTGGGATGATCGGGCACCAGCCTTAAGTGCCAACACTGGGGGTGTATAAAAATAGTAGCAGCCAACAACACAACCACTGAGGTTGTTTCATGCACCGCTATTACCTAGGATGCTCAGGCATCTATTTATGCCTCTGGTCTTGGTTGGAAGCTAGGAAATTGGCTCAGGTTATCCATTTTGCTTCCTGGCATGTACTGGCTTCCTGTAGTTCATGCAACTGTTTATTTAAAACAGTGCTTCTTCATGTTTTGGATGCAAGGTACCCCTCATTACACTGAAGGTACCCCTCCAAAAATGCCAGATATTTACTTTTACTCATTTTTAATTACAGAAAAATAATAGAGTAATTCTTTGGGTGCAACGAACTTAGAAACCACAGAGGTCAGAATGTTTTAGGATCCTCTGGGTTTATCTTGTGAACTTCGTGAAACACCTAAAAGTGGTATTATTGTGCAAAATTCTTTAAAGGATCTCATGGCACCCCAGAGTACCTTGGTTAAGAATAGCTGATTTAAACTTTTTTTAAAGAGTTTTGGGCATCTTGCCATTAAATCCAAGTCAAAGATCTGCCCAAGTCAAAAAGCTCAGTGTTCAGGCATGGTTAAAGCATGCCAGCTTCTATGGTCAAAGGCAGATAAGGGAGTGATGTGATCACATCTGGTCACATTTGGTTCCTCAGCTTGAATAACCAGGTACATATTTACAGTTGGATCAACTAAGTGCAACTTTCAAACCTGGACTGAGGCCTTGAACTGAGTTCATATGTGACTTCCAATGAGCCACCATATGGCCATATGGACATGTACCATAGTTTGCCTAAGGTCAGTGGTTCCCACACATAGGAACCTGCTTAGCAAACTTCTCTTTCTTCTTATTAGTGCTATCACAAGAGCCACCTCACAGGCAGCACAGCAGCAACACAGGAAAGAATGAAACCAGCAGCACCTGAATCTTCATGTGATCATTAACAAAATATACCTAATTATTCTTTTATCTAAGTACCCTTATGCTGGTGCAACTCAATGGAGATACACCAATGCACAGTCTGTGGAGAATCAGGCACACTGCCCGTAATGTATACAAACTTAAACTTGCATCTATGTAGAGAATTAAATGTGCATCAATACAATAAATAAATAGGTATTAATAAATTAGTATTTTTATGTTGCCATAAGTCAATGTATCAATATTTATTTCAAAATAAAAAGTCCTGCTTTGATTTTAAGTGTCTTAAGTAACTGCTTAAGTTTGGGTAGAGACTAGTTCCACTCAATTTTGAGGAGAGAGACAGAGTTATTTTAAATAGTGGCCTTATACAAAGCAGATATAATACAAAGCTGGTTCCACTTTTTTGTCCTGTGTTGGATGGCTGTCATCAGGTTTTTCTGTAGCAGTTTTGGGTCTGCTGGATAATATCAAGCTTGTTTATAATACATTATAATCTACTTGATACACCCTAATCTCTGCACTTCACAAGTGATATGACTGTCCTAAATGACCTTGCTCTTTTCCTTACCAGGTTTTTACTGTGAGCCCCTCTACACATTATATTTATGCCACGATTAATGTGTTAATCATGGTGTAAATCGTCAGGTTGCTAGATATGCAACCAATTTAAGGCTGTTAGGCATGGGGGTCAGAAATTCCCAGAGGAGCAGTTTAATTCCCTAGTGGGGGAAGCCCTTCCCCCCACTGGGAGCCTCTGATCCCCTACCCAAGCTGCTGGGCACCGGGTTTTGATAACTATCTGAATGTCAAGCCCTGGGTTTCAGACCTGGGGCTGTTTGGTGAAGGCCAACAATCAGCTGATTGTCTGCCCAGACAGCATTGGGTGAACTGGACCTGGGGCTGTCTGAGCCAGGGCTGACAATCATTTAATTCTCAGCTCTAGCCCCACACTGGGGAAATGAACTGGTTCACTCCAGGACTGATCAACTGATTGTCAGCCCCAGCCCAACTTGCTGGTGCAGGGAAAGCCCAGCAACCAGCAAGTAATAATGGTAAATTGGGATCTGATCCCCAATCCCAAAATCATGCCTCCTGCCATGCATGTATGGCATAGCAGGAGGTGTAATTGTTGGGAGTGGGGATAAGGTCCCATCAAGCCATTAAATGAGTGTATGCTGCGTGCCACCATTTTGCCTGTCTGTTAGCTACCAGATAATTTTTCTTATATCCTGTTTTTTATTTTCATTTAAGAGTTTTACACAGGTCCTTGTTCCATCTGCTATTTAGTTCTGCTGTGTCTGCTTCTCTCCCAGAGACCCAAGGAAGTGGTCTGTGATACCCGAAAGCTTGTTTAAGTCTATCCAAGATATCATCCACAAGAAATCTTGCCTCTTACATATTTCCTAGACTAGGGATTTTCAATCCCTGGGCTGCAGCCCGGTGCTGAGCCATGGTGGGTCAGCTGCCAGTCCATAGCACGGTTGGCTGCTGGACCGGAAGTGGCCACAGACTAGCAAATCACAGCCCCCCCAGAGCTGGGCAGAGAGGCTGCGGCTCCTTCTGCAGGGCCCACGGCAGCACAGGGTTTGGCCCACCCTCCTCCACCCAGGGGGTATCCTTACCTGTCTGCCGGCTGGAAATTGCAGCCACGGTTGGCTGTGACTCCTGGACCACAGTTTGCCGGGCCACAGCACAAAAAACTTTGGGGACCCTGTCATAGACCATTGCAACTACAACATCACTTCAACACTAGTCTTCAGTAAAGCATTTGATGCAGTGCTAATTTGGAAAATGATTGAACTGGAAGGGAGGGAGATTATTACAAGAGTTGTGGCATGAGTAAGGCAATGGCAGAAGGGAGGATGAGAGTAGGCTGTGTATTTCAGCACTGAGGAACCACTAAGGGGGAGAGAGGTTGCTACTCAAGGATTTGTCTTGGAACCGATTTTATTAAATATTTTCATCAGCGATCCTGTCACAACAAATTGGAGTGTGATAAGGAAATTTGCTGATGGCACACATCTGGGAGATATTTTTAATTCACTTTCTTCAGAAAGTTGTATGTGAATCAATATAATTGGATTGGATTGGAATAACATTCATGGAAAAAATTGGAATACAATTGGATTGGATTGAAATAACTCATGAAAAAAATTGGAATACAATTGGATTGGATTGGAATAACATTCATGAAAATAACATTCATGAAACTAGCATTCATGAAAACCTGGATGACTTGTAGTAGACAGATCTGTCTGTCTCACAAGACAATAAAATTGTGCCAAGTGAGACAGTTCACTGAACATGAAAGATGAAGCGAAGCTGGAGTTACCTCTCCAGGACACAAAAGTCTGGGCAGTGTATATAGAGACACCAAGTTGCACGCACACTAGCATCTTCCTTTCAGCCTTGCTGCTTTACTCCAAATGAAAGGCAGGTGCCAGTATGTTTGGAATCATCTTGGCTGCAGGAGTTGCAAGAACACAGGAGATCATCCATTTGTCCATCAATCAGAGCTCCACTCCTAGACTAGCTGCCAACTCAAGTTAAAGAGCCCAGTCTACCCTATTACAGAGTAGACCTTAGTTCTACAACCTATTGGCAGTATTTTCTCTGCCAGGAGTAAGACTAGTATCCACCTTTAAGGTGCTCTTCTAGACATTTGTATCTGTCAGGTTGCCAGGTTATTTAATTCCAAATACTGGGCAGTGGCTAGCAGTAGCAGGTAGTTCCATCTAGTGTAAACTATGGTAGCAGGCAAACCTGACCTGATTTAAGGACTGACTTGAAGGACTGGAGTAATGGAAATAAGAGGAAATGTAATTGAACAAAGTTCTCCCAGGGACTAATAATAAGAATCTTGTCCAAAAATCTGGTCATAGCAAGATTACTGGTCCTCTGGAAATGACAGGGGAGGAAGTAAGACCTGGGTGTATTAGTTGATCACTATATGACTGTGAGCCACCAGTGTAACG